TATATATATATATATATATATATCTATATATATATCTATATATGTATATCTATATATATATCTATATCTATATCTATATATATATATATATATATATATATATATATATATATATATATATATATATATATATATATATATATAGATATATATAGATATATCTATATATATATATATATATATATATATATATATATATATATATATATATATATATATATATATATATATATATATATATATATAGATATATCTATATCTATATATCTATATATATATAGATATAGATATAGATATATATATATATATATATATATATATATATATATATATATATATATATATATATATATATATATATATACCTCTGTACCTCTAACTATCTTACAGATATGTCCAAAACCAAGAGGTACCCATCCATCTAGACAGTCACTCGTCACTTAAAAGTGGAAAAAAAGACAACCCATGTAAAAGCAAACGTCTAAATTTAGCATAATTAAATATAATGGATTCTGTATTCTAAATTATTGATTTAAAAGTTAATAGCGTAATGACCTATTCCTTGTGTTTAATATACGAAAGGTTAAAGAGTTAATCCCAAATGTTTTTCAAGTTTGTTGGATTTATACGTCCATTATTTTTGAAAAACATGCTAAAATTACGAGTTAAGCTTTATATAAATATGGTTCCAACTTTGCTACATACATTTTTATATAAGAATAGGGATTCTGTTTATATTTGCCCCCGCCTGTTAGAGAGAAATAATCCTCAGGGCTTTTTGTTGTTTTTGACACCTGATGAAAATAAGAGGTTAAGGCCTATTGGAAGACAGATTTACTCTTTTCTCGATGGTGGCTGATACCCGTGGACTAATCCAAAAAGTTCAATAAAATTGATTATTTTTAAATCTTGGTATGGATTAAATTATTTGTTTTATTGATAACCAAAAATTGCTGATATCTGACCTTTCCTCAAAGCGGATTCCATTGCCTTACATTTCCTTTGATTATGCAATAAATTAGTATCCTTTATTCTCTGCTAGATCAACCGTCAGCACATTTTTTAGTTTGACAATGCAGCCGATAACCTGTTAATATTAATTTGAATTATGTCGCTATTTCTTATTAGAAATTAGTTTTAACATGTTTTGCGCAAAAGCTTTACCTTTCTGATTGTCCTCGTTTCTGAACGGTCCATTTGTCCTAAAGACTAGGCAAAAATACTCCATGTAAAATTATGTTGGTCTACCTTTAATTAGGCAAATTTGTCCATAATATCGGACATATTAGCTGATAAATTTGCCACTAATTAGACTAACGTTTCAAATTCATTCTTAAATTTGTCATACTCAATTGTACAAATGTCATTTAATACAGGTTAGTTTCAGTGCCAGTGTTATATATATATATATATATATATATATATATATATATATATATATATATATATATATATATATATATATATATATATATATATATATATATATATATATATATATGTATAGATATATATATATATATATATATATATATACATACATATATATACATACATATATATACATACATATATATACATACATACATACATACATACATACATACATACATACATACATACATACATACATACATACATACATACATACATACATACATACATACATACATACATACATACATACATACATACATACATACATACATACATACATACATACATACATACATACATACATACATACATACATACATACATACGTAAGATTACAGATCTACATTTGATGTTTACTATTTTGAATGCGCAGATGAGAGATTAATAGCGTCCATCACTTGCCTCGGTATAGGATAGGAATACTGCACCTGATGATCAAGATATATCGTCAGATACGAGGCTGTGCCGTGTGTTTGACGCAAAATGTTGATCACAAATATAGAATTTTCCTATTAAACATTGAATCATAGTGATGGATGCTTTTTTCATTATTTGTGAAAGAAAAATGAGAACTGAAGTACAAATGCGTAGTGTAAATACTTCTGTAACTTTCAAACGGGAAAACACCAATCGAAAATTTCCATATCATAAGATAAAGCTAATGAATTTTGGTTTGACGTTCAAATGACGTTCAAATGACGTTCAAATGACGTTCAGTGACATTCAAATACATATAATCTTTCGAAGAACAATGCTTGAAATTGCTTGGATAGTGGTAATACATGGCAACCGAATTGTGTACTACATTTGGTATGTTCATTGATACAGATGTATAGGGGAACAATAATGTGTGTGTGTGTGTGTGCGTGTGATTTGGATTTTAATGTAGCCTTAAAACATATTTAGGTGATATCATTACGACACCTGCAGTGTGGTAGTTTATAGTGATGTGTAGTGTGATGTGTCAAATTTTGTAAACTCTTAGAAGTATTGTTTAAATGAATTGTATCAAAGTCAACTTAATTAAAGTAGAAAGGACTAGAGACAGTTATATGATTATTTTCATTTCATCTCTGAACGTCAAAGGAAATTCGTTGCATGAGACGAAACTTGACTGAGTCTTCTGCTATGGTACAAGGGTATGACATAAGGCCCTTTCAAAAAATCAACCGGTTAAAGAGGGGAAGCTTGGCGATAATTGATTGTTCTAAGGAACGTTAATTACGGCATGATTAGCTGTCTTGACAATCAAACAATCTGCGTAGAAGATTTAGGAAACTGTCGTTTCTGATTGGTTATTAGTAACTTAAGGGCGTTACTCTGTAAGGAATTAAGGGTTTTGCTTTGGAAACATTCTTCAGTCGTCAATCTTTCTTGAAAGATATTAGGAGGTCGACTCCGGGAAACGTGAAAGTTCGTTTCTCGTGATTGCAGTAAGGCGTGAGAATTGTCTCAGAAAGTAGACAACTTTACATTTGAGGTTCGTTGGAAACGAATAAGAAACGGCAAAAGGTACGAAATCTTAGTTTCCCGATTTTAATATGCTGTTTCATTTGTTGATTTACTTGCCAATGTATTGATGTTATGATGTATGTATATATGATTTCATGTTTCAGGATTTTAAGTGAAATGTTAGTCATGACATTTTATTCTTTGATTTTCTAATTATCAATTCATTGAGAGAATTGACAAGATTGCATGTAATCGCATTTTCGATACATAGGAGTGCTTAGGAATTTTCAAGAATTAAACCTAATAAATGATGGTTAATGTTTCATAGATTTATGAAATAAATCTCTGTCTAGTATGACATGTATTGAGTGTATACTCATATACTATTTTGTAACATTTAATTCATCAGGTAAACTATTTTAGAATAGTTAGATTTGAGGAGCTAAGCCTTATGTAATTTAACACTGTAGTAACGTAACAAGCCAAGGGGTGTTAAATACGGGCATATACATGGTAGCCGTACAGTGGAATTTAATGTTCCCCGCTTGCGTGACCCGAATTAAGGTCAGGACATGCAATGACCGTCTATGCAACCATAGGAATGAGTGAGCGAGTGAGTGCAACACAATTTATTCCTTTTATTTTTCTGAGCCGAATTAATGTAAATATATATATATATATATATATATATATATATATATATATATATATATATATATATATATATATATATATATATACTTGGAAATGTGACCTATTGTCTATTGCAAGACATTTAATTTATTAAAGGAAGCAGCTTCCTGAACTCTCCTAAAGTTCCTGAGATTTCTGTACATTCATGAGAAAATTCTGCAGCGAAAGGTCAGAAGTTTTCACCGCTGAAGTCTAAGTACAATCGTCTAACCGAAGTTCGACTGGCAAGAGTCCAGGTCCGACGACTAGAAAAAAGTGGCAGAGCAAAGACGAACGGAAGATTCGATGTCCGGATAAGATAGGTGATGAAATCGCTCATCGTTGAACTCAAAGGTCACGTCTCGTAGGCAATGACGAACTGAATTAATTCTGTCACTGACAAGTAATAGTAACAGTAAAGAAAATTTGTATTGTATTTTTTTAGTACATGTTAGTACATTTTTCCTTCTTTTGTAACCAAGAAATTGATTTCTTTTCATTTTAAATTATGTGGTTAAACCCACTAAATTTTATATTTATTCATTGAAAGGGGGCTCATTGTGTTTATTTCTTCAATATACTTGTACAGTGATCTACATTCTTCTTTCTATCCATCCACACTGGGTAAATTACACCGCTGGAGGTCATTCACTAGCAACGAACCTTAGTAGAAGAGGTTGGTGTGTTTTGAACGCCACCAATTTACCACATCTAGCATTGGGAAAACATGTAGCATCATGTCTAACCCAGTCATATTATTCTGACACCAAGCCAACCAGTTCTAAAACTAATCTCTTATTGTTGAGCGCCAAGCGAGACGGTTGCGTTTTTCATTTTTATAAGTCTTTGGTATGACTCGACGGGTTCGAACCTGCGACCTCCCACATCCGAGGCGGATTCTCTAACCACTTAGGCCACCAGAGCGGTCCCGGAACAAGACTGAAGTTCACTTTTGTCAACATGATTAAACGAGACATACAAAAATAATGAAATAGCCCTCGAATCAACATTGATATAAAATTTGTTTATCCTTCAAAATTAACAATGAAATGTGAACAGCAACAGTTTCGAGTCAAAATGGACTAAAGAAGCCATAAATGTAACTAGGCTGATCAGTGCGAAACAGACTATTTTTGTAATCATCAAACACTGCACAAGAACGGTGGTCTTTTCCTCCAGTTTTGAAAGGTGTAAGTGTGTGTGTGTGTGTGTGTGTGTGTGTGCTATTTAGATTTTAAATGTAGCTTTAAAAATAATTATACTCATATCGTTACGATATCTGCAGTATGATAGCTTATAGTGTTGTCTAGCACTATATAGCATGATGTCATACCCAGTCGCAATATCCTGATAAAGGGACGACCAGTCCTAACACTGACCTCTTAATGCTTAGCGCCTAGTGAGGAAGCTGCAAGTACTATTTTTATAAGTATTTGGTATGACTCGGCCAGGGTTCGAACCAGCGACCTCCCGCATCCGAGGCGAACGATCTAACCACTAGGCCACCGTAGTGGTGTTTTGAAATGTTGCATATTCATAGTATTGGAGAAGCTGTATATATTCTAGGTTTGGCTTGAAGTCCCTTTCTCCCCTTATATCCAAAGATATCTCAACAACAATCATTGTCACCTGGAAGGTCTAATAACGCGCCAAGACTATACATAATATTTATATAATCAATCAATGACCACAAACAAAATATCCCAACTTCACATTCGCATAACTACTTCACAGCTGCGCGGCAAGCTCTTAACCACATGGCTTCTTTTGTTAGGATTCCGTAGAGTAACGTCAGTACTTAAATACCATAAAATACAAATCACAACTCATAGACCAAATACAGAGCACTATTTTCTTGCTCTATCCCTGGGTCAGACGAACCACGATTTTGAGACTCATTTCACAGGTGACTTACACCACCTTTACCATCATGCCAACAATAAAAGGTATCTCGAAGCAATGGAACAACGCCATCTGAATTATTCCATTGTATCAGTCACTATCACTAATAATTTCACATGGAAATACACAACCAATTAACACACACACACACACACACACACACACACATATATATATATATATATATATATATATATATATATATATATATATATATATAATAAATATATATTTTATATATATATATATATATATATATATATATATATATATATATATATATATATATATATATATATATATATATATATATATATATATATAAAATTTCTTTCTAATACATGTCTTTATTTGTTTCGGTCTGCTGTATAGCTTTCGTAGAAGATATTAGAAATACACTTATATTTCTTTCAAAAAAATCTACTTACCTGAAGAATCGCGTAAAATCCCATGCATTATGAAATCGAAACGCAGTCTTGATACTTTTTTTCCTAAACATGTTTGCAGTCACATTTGCCTTGACGATAATTTGTAAAACAATTAAATGCCAAACACTCCCACGATATTATAATACATTTTCTTGCAATTAAACAATAGAATTTATGTAAAACGAACAATCATCTTACATTACAAGAAATAACATTTAAACTAGTTTCATGAACATTCTTATATTTATATGAGAAAAATACTATTAACATAATCCTAAAAATATAGCAAAATTAAGAACACAGCAATGCTTTTCACTGAAGACCATTCTGCGTCATAAAATACTCAAGGGATAGTCAAGTATGCTAGATGCTTGCTTAATTTAATTTAACTTTTTCTTTATTTGTACTATTTGCTCATAATACCTACATACACCTGTAACTTGTACAATCAATTGACTAAACGCCATGTTTAGCCATTTTTTTTCAGTATTCATTGTGCTGATAACTGGCTCTGTAATTTACTCTCTGTCTAGTATTTCGATAGCTTATCATTTGATTAACCCTTAGCCTCCTTTTTCAGCTGGTGTCTATATAATAGCCTCATATCAAATAAAAGAGAGAGAGAGAGAGAGAGAGAGAGAGAGAGAGAGAGAGAGAGAGAGAGAGAGAGAGAGAGAGAGAGAGAGAGAGAGAGAGAGAGAGAGAGCATCCCTGCGTAAGCGGACACATTGTGCCATTATTTCGGACAATGATTAAAATAAAAAAAATCATACGTAACGGAGATCCGACAGTCACTAATAAGGGGCAATGTTCGGCTAAACTCGAGATTAAAATATTAAATTAAAGCTTTCATATATTATGAAGGTGAAAAACGTCATTTGGAACTTACAGTATCTAACGTCAACTCCTGCTATCACAAAATGTTATCTATCGTCAACTCTCGCTATCACAAAATGCTATCTAACCTCAATTATCGCTATCACAAAATGCTAACGTCAACTCTCGCTATCACAAAATGAAACGCTCTATCAAATAGTTTATTACACGAACTCGACCATGGGATTCAAAAGGTCGGCAGTGCATGTAAAAAATTGAAGGTGCCTGTCAGACTTATTTATTATAGATTTAGATTTGAATCAAATTGTCAAAGTGGTACTATTCACATCTGCAGAACGCTTGGAAAGGACGCCATATGATGAAGTGCAGACTTTGTTACCTTATGACAATATTAACTTGTTTGTCATCATAACCGTCCATGAGACGGTATTGATACAAAATTGATGAAATATTGCGATATATCCTTAAGCTTGAACCAAGTAGATTTTTATGAATATTAAACTGTGGTTTATGTAGTAACATCATTTTGTGATGACGTTATTTGTTCTCCAGGTTGTTGTTGTTTTTTTGTTTCTTCCTCTAAAACTGGTAAAGATGACTATAAGAAAATGGCGTGTAGCACAAAGTACAACCAAGTTACCAAGTTATCTTCATTTAGTTGATGCTTGTCTACAAGTTCTTGCTGTTGTTATTGTTATTGCTGTTGTTGTTGTTGTTGTAGACATAACGACATTTTCAGCACGGTAGACCATACATGGCGGCCGGTATAACTGGTGAAGGAAGAACCAGGGCAATCCGGGAAGGCCCACATACCCATCGGCAAGCTACTGGCATGCTTTCTAAAATATCAGCATAGACTAATTTTAGATACTATAACCAACTCAAATAGCAGTGATCGGCATAGACGAGCGATTTAGACCGCTCGGTCACCTGGGGCCAACCTATATATTTATAAATGAAACTTAAAACAGACGTAAAATGCATAGGTTTTTTTAGCTTGTTCAACAATATAAGGGATGTTTTTGGCTTTGCAGCGCAGTCAACCGTGTTACTACCCTATCTCTGTCTTAAAAAATGCTTTAAAATACCACAACATTGGACACAAAACCTTATTTATTACCAGCAGAAATCAGATAACAAAGTGAGAATATGGAAATAAACGTGTTCCCACAGTGCATTTAGTGAAAATGATACAAACCTTTTGTTTCTTTTTTTGTCTCAGGTTTTAGACTTTGTTTTGGCAAGAAGGTACATTTCGACACAAATTCATTTTAAAAAAAGAAGCCCAGCCAAACGTTTAAATTTATAAATAATCTACACTTTCATTAAAAATCACACAATATTTTCATTTGATTATCTCTTATGCTGTGCACTTCAAATTACAATCGGTTACTCCATTAGAGCTTTTGTTCCTTGGTATTACATTCCTTGTGTTGCACATGCATGTATACAGAATGCAATCGGCTACACCATTAGTGCTTTTGTTCCTTGGTATTACATTCCTTGTCTTGTATATTCATGTATACAGGATCATAAAAATTAAAAAATTATGAAAATCTTGAAAACATGAATGGACTCCATTAGATAGTGCCCTTTTATATTGTTACCCGAGGGCACTGCAAACAGGGCGATATATGTTTGTGGTGAATAAAATTTGGAACGCGATGTGTTTAAAACTGCATAATGTGTTATAATTAATTATTTTCATATATTAACTGCAAAGATTTTAAATGTGTTTGATGGTTAGAATAAAATATTCCATTCTTTAAAATTGTCTGACATACAGACGTCTGACATGTTTTTTCATCTACTACAATAAATGCTCTTTCCCAGTTTGAATTGCAACTTCAATAAACGAGTGTAACACAGACTACACACACTGCTTGTAGTAACTTCGTCGTTATAATTTCTCTGATATATCACCCAACCTGGGTCATATTCTCTGACGACTTCAGACTCCTAAACTGTATAACACTTTTATCCGAGGACCTAGTGCAGCATAAATATTAATTTCGTCATGGACGGCACATTGGGGTGTGTGTGTGAGGGTGGTGGTGGTGTTTTCGCATATTATTGCAAATCGCTGCAAAATATGTAGCACGTGTACATGAGCACACTGTATACGCAACAATATATTTTTAAAGAGAAATAGTTCGCTTCATCTTTTGCATATATAATAATACAGCATCACTTATATTTGATGACTCAATTAAACTTGACAGTTTAATTAGCCTGGTTGTGCAAAAGTTTTCAAGTTGTCATAGTTAACTTAATATTAGAAGTTTTGGGTTGTAAATTTACAGTCGATTAATAACCTTGTAATGTGTTGTTTGGTTGGTATTTTCGTGAACATATATGAAAAATTCACTGTCGAATAATAGTTATCTGCTTCTTCCCTTTCGTATATTAGTTATTTGCCTCTTCACTTTAAAATATTAGTTATCTGCTTCTTCACTTTCTTATAATAGTTATCTGCTTCTTCATTTTCGTATATTAGTTATTTGCTTCTTCACTTTAATATATTAGTTTCCTGCTTCATCACTTTCTTATAATAGTTATCCGCTTCTTTACTTTCGTGCAATAGTTATCTGCTTCTTCACTTTCGTGCAATAGTTATCTGCTTCTTCACTTTCGTGCAATAGTTATCTGCTTCTTCACTTTAATATAATAGTTATCTGCTTTTTCACATTCATATAATAGTTATCTGCTTCTTCACTTTCTTATAATAGTTATCTGCTTCTTCATTTTCGTACAATAGTTATCTGCTTCTTCACCTTCTTATAACAGTTATCTGCTTCTTCACTTTCATATAATAGTTATCTGCTTCTTCACTTTAATATAATAGTTTTCTGCTTCTTCACTTTCATATAATATTTACCTGCTTCTTCATTTTCGTGCAATAGTTATCTGCTTCTTCACTTTCATATAATAGTTATCTGCTTCTTCACTTTTGTATAATAGTTATCAGCTTCTTCACTTTCTTTTAATAATTATCTGCTTCTTCACTTTCATGCAATAGTTATCTGCTTCTTCACTTTCATATAATAGTTATCTTCTTCTTCACTTTCATATTACTTTTATCTGCTTCTTCACTTTTGTATAATAGTTATCTGCTTCTTCACTTTCGTATAATAGTTTTGCACGGCTTCGGTTTCAGATAATAGTAATCTACTGACTTTTATCTTTCGAAGTGAAAATGTAAAATTTACTGAAAAGAAAAATTAAATTCGAATAAATATTTTGAAGCGACAATAAATAACAACATCAAGTTCATATGATTAATACAAATATAATGCTGAGGATTGTAATTGATTTATAATTTTATTAAGTGGTCAAAAGAGAAAGC